ATCCATCCTTCCATCCATCCATCCATCCATCCATCCATCCATCCATCCATCCATCCATCCATCCATCCATCCATCATCCATCCATCCATCCATCCATCATCCATCAATCCATCCATCCATCCATCCATCCATCCATCCATCCATCCATCCATCCATCATCCATCAATCCATCCATCCATCCATCCTTCCATCCATCCATCCATCCATCCATCCATCCATCATCCATCCATCCATCCATCCATCCATCCATCCATCCATCCATCCATCCATCATCCATCAATCCATCCATCCATCCATCCATCCATCTTCCTCCGCTTATCCGGGGTCGGGTCGCGGGGGCAGCAGCTTAAGAAGGGAGGCCCAGACTTCCCTCTCCCCAGCCACTTCTTCCAGCTCTTCAGGAGGAACCCCAAGGCGTTGTCTATAAATGTGCTGTTTTTCAGTTCTTCCCTTATGTTTCTAAGTCCATAAAAGACATATTTCTGCTTAGAAACTTTATTTTAACTCTCCTTAGATGAAAATCATAATATGCAGTTTCCATAGAGACCTGTGAGAAATCTGGAAACTTTCAGATCCTATTTCTGTTTCTCCTCCCACTGTTTTTTCTTCTTCTATCCTCCTGTCACCATAATTTCCCTGAGGGAGTAATCCCAGGGATTAATAAAGTGAGTCTAATGTTTCCCTTTTGTAACTCAAAGATGTTTAAACAGATTCAGCAAAGCTTCACTCAGTCATCAGCTCCGTTTACTGCAAACCTGCGCTTTCCTCCTTCTGTTCTCTGATTGGTCAGTCAGTCTAAAGAATACAGCCACTGGCCAATCAGAATTCAGATGGAGACTACAACGATGTACATGCTGGCCCCGCCCACCTCCTCAGAATGAAGAATTGTAAAGGGGCGGGATCAGGTATTGATTGGCGATCCTCTTCACCAATCAGCAGTTTGAGAGGTTTGGTTTGAGAGGGGCGTGAAGGAAGCCATCTATGTCAAGAGAGAAAAACCAACTTTAAACAGAGGTGGTGGACTCAGATTCCAGCTTCCAAAAACATACAATTCAATCATAGACATGATCCCTTCCAGATATCACCAAACCCCCCACCCCATCACAGAGGAACGAGGGACCTACCCGCCCCAGCCGGTGAACAATACCTCCTTAACGACCAACCCTTAACAATCATAGACAGGTTTCAGGTATTACAGGAGACAATCCCCCCCCTTAATGGCAATCCCCCCTTTAACGACCGACCCCTAGAATCATAGACAGGTTCAGATATTACAGGCTAACGATGGAACTAACGACCCATTCATCGGTTACCATTGCATGTTTCCAAGCGATACAAGGCGTTGTCTATATAAGACTCAAACTCACTGCGGATCCAGACATTTGAATTGAGAAAGCTTCCTGGAGAGGTGGCGAAACGTCTTCAAATCTTGAAAACCAAGTCCAGTGGATTTTTTGAATTTTTACGGAATCAGCAGCGATAACTAACAACCTCTCACGTTAGCTCCTCCCAGAAGAACGGCCATAGGCCCGCCCATATAAAGCAAAATAGCCTATGGGGGCGTTCCTGGTGGGCGGGGCTTCATCTGATCCGACCCATTTTGAAAGTGAACCATCGGCTCCAGTCGCAGCTTCAGACCCAAACATCAACAGTCAGAACCGAGACCCAGAAAGTTCCGGTCCGTGTCCCCCAGTCCCGGGCCTCCTACCCAGTGAGTACCTCCGTCCTTCGCAGCTTAGATCCGGAGAAGGTCCGTTATTACCGGGAGGAATGTGGGGTTCCTGCTGGATTAAAATGGCTGCTGTGGGGTTCGGTCCGGATGGAACCGAACCTCCTGCCGGTTCTGCAGGGTTCTCCTCAGGAACCCAGGGAGGTGGTGGTGTAAACATAAACCGCCCATTGTCCTCAGGGTGGATGCCAGCCAGTAGCCGCATCCCTCACATCCAACACTGACCTCTCCTGGAAATAGACGGGCCCCTCCGTTCATAATGCGCAGCTTCAGTCTCTCTGTGTTTCTGTTGCTTCATGAGGATTATTTCCAGAAGTTAGACTGGTTCCGGTTCCGGTGGTTCCGAGGCGCTGGGTTGGACCGGTTCCCGGGTGGTTCGGTCCGGTTCTGCCTCTGCAGAGGGGGATGGGGGCCGCTCCGCAGAGGGCGGGAAATGGTGGCCCATTGTTCTCCATGCTAGCTGGGCCAGGCTAGCTGCTGCGGCCCGGGAGGAGAAGCAGCCAGCCTGCCGGGGACTGGAGGGTCTGACCCGGTCCAGATTTAGAACCGGGTCCGGAACCAGCACCGGGGCTCTACTGGATCAGAACCGGACCGACTGTAGGCCGGATCCACTGCGGAGCAGAGGGACCCTCAGCCTGGGTCCTTTGTTTAGAAGGAGGTCCCTGATCAGAACCCAGCCTTAGTGGACCGGTACCGGACTGAGGACCGGTACCGGTCTGAGGTCCAGAAAGAAGAGCAGAGCTTCTGTTAAAGAATCAGATTCATTAATGGATAAAATAACGGGAGCAATAACAGTGATGGATCATCTGGACCGTTATCTCCATCCAATCAGGGTTCTGGACCTGGTTCTGATCATGATCCTAGTTCTGATCCTGGTTCTGGTTCTGACCAGATCCATTCTAATATCCATGATTTCTCCAGAAATAGAGAACATAGATCCGTTAGATCAAAGTAGCAGAGGGACCAGAGAGGAAGGCCTGGAAATAAACAAGGAACCAGAAGATCTGATGGGAACCAACCAGAACCGCTGGGTCCAACCAGAACCGCTGGGTCCCACCAGAACCGCTGGGTCCCACCAGAACCCCTGGGTCCCACCAGAACCAATGGGTCCCACCAGAACCAATGGGTCCCACCAGAACCGCTGGGTCCAACCAGAACCGCTGGGTCCAACCAGAACCGCTGGGTCCCACCAGAACCGCTGGGTCCCACCAGAACCCCTGGGTCCCACCAGAACCAATGGGTCCCACCAGAACCAATGGGTCCCACCAGAACCGCTGGGTCCCACCAGAACCGCTGGGTCCAACCAGCACCGGTTGGTCCAACCAGAACCAGAGGATTACCTGGAAATAAACAAAACAGGAATGAAAGGAACCAGAAGATCTGATGGGAATTCAACCAGACCCACTGGGTCCAGTCGGGTTTCCAGTAGTCCTAACTGGTCAGACTGGTTGGTTCAGATCCTGGACGCTCCAGCCATCAATAGATGGAGGCTGGATCTCAGTTCTACTGGTTCCTCTGGTCCATCAGAGTCCAGAACCATCCAGCTGTGGTCGGTGGCGGCGCTCCATCTCTACCTGACTGCTGCTCATGGGCACAGCGGAAGGTTCTGGTCCTGGTCATAGTTTATTCTAGACCAGCTGGATGTATGGCCTATAAGGGCTGCTCCTCCTCCTGCTCCTGCTCCTCCTCCTACTACTCCTACTACTCCTCTTCCTGCTCCACCTCCTCCTACTCCTCCTCCTGCTCCTCTCAGCCTTTCCCTCTGATGTTCTCTGTAGAACCAATGAGTCGTTTAAAATCAAACCCCTCCAACCAGGTTCTGTGGTGGTTCTGTTCTGGACCTGCAGGTTCTGATGTTTCACTAGAGCTGACCTCTGAACCCAGTCCACTCAGTAACACTCAGAACCTGCAGGTGGAGAATAGAGCAGCTGTGATGTCAGAGCGGCGTCTGCGGCGTGGTGGGAGGAGCCGCCTACAGTGGTTCTGAACCTTGGTATTGACCCGTTCACTGGATGGTCAGAGTCCACTCAGGGTTCTGTTCTGATGGTGGTTCTGGGCTCAGTGGATCCCGTTCTGAGATTGTGTCTCCTGCTGACCTTCCTCCCGCTCCTCTTCCTCAGGCCGCCGCCATGATGCGTAAAGACGTGAACAAGCCGAAGGGGAAGACGTCGGCGTACGCCTTCTTCGTCCAGACGTGTCGAGAGGAGCACCGCAAGAAGAACCCGGAGCAGTCCGTCAACTTCGCCGAGTTCTCCAAGAAATGTTCTGAGAGGTGGAAGGTAGGTCCGCTTCTGGTTCTGGTTCTGGAAGCGCTGACCGCCAGAACCGTTCATTAATGGGTTCTGTTGGCTGATCGTTGTTCTGTCGGGTCAATTCTATTCAGTTTATTTCTATAGCTTCAATTCACATCATGTCATCTCAGGTCACTTTCCAGTTCACCAGATCATCCAGTCAGATTGATTCAAAGTTTTCTATCTAAGGAAAACCAGCTGATTGCATCGACTCATTGACTCTTCAGCAATCCCTCACACTAAGCATGCTTGTAGCGACAGTGGAGAGGAAAAACTCCCTTTGAACAGGAAGAAACCTCCAGCAGAACCAGGCTCAGTGTGAGCGGCCATCTGCTGAGGCCCACTGGGGTTCAAGGAGACAGAAGCAGACATAGAAAAAGAAGCATAGATACAAAAGGCAACTGTCAACCAGCTCCACAGGCGGCCCCGTCCAGGAAACACACAGCCAGGCAGACGAGCTCCGAGCCAGCTCCCATGTCAGAGGATGAAGAGAGCACATCCAGTTAGTCACAGTCAGAGAAACAGGACTACACTGGAAAACAGGCCCATCTCCAACATCTAGAAACAAAGGTGTTGATGGCAGCAGCACAGCTGATATTTCTCTCCAGGATGGAGTCACAGCCAAACAGGAACAGACCAGATGAAGCTACTATGAGAAAAAGCAGAGAGAGCAGAACGTTAGAGATTGAACTAATAGATTCTGCAGAGTGGGAGAATAGAGATAGAATGAAGCAGAATGATGAAAAAGGGGTCCCTATGTCCTCCAGCAGTCTAAGCCTATAGCAGCAGAACTATAGAGATAGATCAGGATAACCTGAGCCACTCTAACTAGAAGCTTTATCAAAAAGGAAAGTTTTAAGCCTAGCCTTAAAAGTAGACAGGGTGTCTGCCTCACGGACTAAAACTGGTAGTTGGTTCCACAGGAGAGGAGCCTGAGAACTAAAAGATCTGCCTCCCATTCTACTTTTAGAAATTCTAGGAACCACTAGTAAACCTGCAGATTGAGAGCGAAGTGCTCTGTTAGGAACATAAGGAACAATCAGATCTCTGATATCAGATGGAGCTTGGCCATTTAAGGCTTTATATGTGAGAAGGAGGATTTTAAATTCTATTCTAGATTTAACAGGAAGCCAATGAAGAGAAGCCAGGATAGGCGAGATATGATCTCTCTTTTTCATTTTCATCAGAACTCTGGCTGCAGCATTTTGGATCAGCTGAAGGCTTTTAACTACAGTTTGTGGACTTCCTGATAGTAAAGAATTACAATAGTCCAGCCTTCAAGTAACAAATGCATGGACTAGTTTCTCAGCATCACCCCTGGACAGGAGATTGCTCATTTTTGCAATATTCCTCAGATGAAAGAAGGATATTCTAGAAACCTCTTTGATCTGAGATTTAAATGACAGGTCCTGATCAAAAATAACACCAAGATTTTTTACTTTATTATCTGAAATCAGTTTAATCCCATCCAAATGAAGTGACTGACTAATCAGTTTCTTTTTCAGAGACTCTGGTCCAAAGACTATAACTTCTGTTTTGTCTGCATTCAGAAGCAGAAAGTTAAGAGTCATCCAGGTTTTTCTGTCTTCAGACATGCCTGTAATCTATGTAATGGGTTAGCTTCATCTGGATTATAGACAGATATAGCTGGGTATCATCAGCATAACAGTGGAAATTAATCCCATGCTGTCTAATAACTCTACCGATTGGGAGCATGTATAAAGTAAAGAGAATTGGTCCTAGCACTGATCCCTGTGGTACTCCACAGGTAACCTTTGAGCGTGTTGAAGATCTATCATTAACATGAACAAACTGAATTCGATCAGATAGATCAGATTTAAACCAGTCTAGTGCTGTTCCTTTAATTCCAACAAAATATTCAAGTCTATAACTTCTGTTTTGTCTGCATGCAGAGTCAACATGGTTCCGTTGAATCCTCATTGTTCTGTGGGGTCCTCATGGTTCTGTCGGGTCCTCATAGTTCTGTTGGGTCCTCATAGTTCTGTGGGGTCCTCATGGTTCTGTCGGGTCCTCATAGTTCTGTCGGGTCCTCATAGTTCTGTCGGGTCCTCATAGTTCTGTCGGGTCCTCATAGTTCTGTCGGGTCATTATTGTTCTGTCGGGTCACCGGTGGGTCTGTCAGGTCCTTATTGTTCTGTTGAGTGCTTGTGGTTCTGTCGGGTCACCAGTGGTTCTGTCGGGTCACCAGTGGTTCTGTCGGGTCATTATTGTTCTGTCGGGTCATTATTGTTCTGTCGGGTCCTCATGGTTCTGTCTGGTCACCAGTGGTTCTGTCGGGTCCTCGTGGTTCTGTCGGGTCCTCGTGGTTCTGTCGGGTCCTCGTGGTTCTGTCGGGTCATTATTGTTCTGTCTGGTCACCAGTGGTTCTGTCGGGTGCTTATTGTAAAGTCGGGTCACTGGTGGTTCTGTCGGGTCCTCATAGTTCTGTCGGGTCGTTATTGTTCTGTCGGGTCACCGGTGGTTCTGTCGGGTCATTATTGTTCTGTCGGGTCACCGGTGGTTCTGTCGGGTCATTATTGTTCTGTCGGGTCACCGGTGGTTCTGTCGGGTCCTCATGGTTCTGTCGGGTCCTCATGGTTCTGTCGGGTCCTCATGGTTCTGTCGGGTCATTATTGTTCTGTCGGGTCACCGGTGGTTCTGTCGGGTCATTATTGTTCTGTCGGGTCACCGGTGGTTCTGTCGGGTCCTCATGGTTCTGTCCGGTCACTAGTTGTTCTCTCGGGTCCTCATGGTTCTGTCGGGTCACCATGGTTCTGTCGGGTCATTATTGTTCTGTCGGGTCCTCATGGTTCTGTCCGGTCACTAGTTGTTCTGTCGGGTCCTCATGGTTCTGTCCGGTCACTAGTTGTTCTGTCGGGTCCTCATGGTTCTGTCAGGTCACTAGTTGTTCTGTCGGGTCCTCATGGTTCTGTCAGGTCACTAGTTGTTCTGTCGGGTCCTCATGGTTCTGTCTGGTCACCAGTGGTTCTGTCGGGTCCTCATGGTTCTGTCAGGTCACCAGTGGTTCTGTCGGGTCCTCATGGTTCTGTCCGGTCACTAGTTGTTCTGTCGGGTCCTCATGGTTCTGTCCGGTCACTAGTTGTTCTGTCGGGTCCTCATGGTTCTGTCGGGTCCTCATGGTTCTGTCGGGTCACCGGTGGTTCTGTCGGGTCCTCATGATTCTGTCGGGTCACCGGTGGTTCTGTCGGGTCACCGGTGGTTCTGTCGGGTCACCGGTGGTTCTGTCGGGTCACCATGGTTCTGTCGGGTCATTATTGTTCTGTCTGGTCACCAGTGGTTCTGTCGGGTCACCATGGTTCTGTCGGGTCATTATTGTTCTGTCTGGTCTCCAGTGGTTCTGTCGGGTCACCATGGTTCTGTCGGGTCCTCATGGTTCTGTCGGGTCCTCATGGTTCTGTCGGGTCCTCATGGTTCTGTCGGGTCATTATTGTTCTGTCGGGTCGTTATTGTTCTGTCGGGTCCTCATGGTTCTGTCGGGTCATTATTGTTCTGTCGGGTCATTATTGTTCTGTCGGGTCCTCATAGTTCTGTCGGGTCGTTATTGTTGTGTCTGGTCCTCATGGTTCTGTCGGGTCACCGGTGGTTCTGTCGGGTCCTCATAGTTCTGTCGGGTCGTTATTGTTGTGTTGGGTCCTCGTGGTTCTGTCGGGTCCTCATGGTTCTGTCGGGTCACTAGTGGTTCTGTCGGGTCCTCATGGTTCTGTCGGGTCATTATTCTGTCTGGTCACCAGTGGTTCTGTCGGGTCATTATTGTTCTGTCGGGTCACCGGTGGTTCTGTCGGGTCATTATTGTTCTGTCGGGTCACCGGTGGTTCTGTCGGGTCATTATTGTTCTGTCTGGTCACCAGTGGTTCTGTCGGGTCATTATTGTTCTGTCGGGTCACCGGTGGTTCTGTCGGGTCATTATTGTTCTGTCGGGTCACCGGTGGTTCTGTCGGGTCATTATTGTTCTGTCGGGTCACCGGTGGTTCTGTCGGGTCATTATTGTTCTGTCGGGTCACCGGTGGTTCTGTCGGGTCATTATTGTTCTGTCGGGTCACCGGTGGTTCTGTCGGGTCATTATTGTTCTGTCGGGTCACCGGTGGTTCTGTCGGGTCATTATTGTTCTGTCGGGTCACCGGTGGTTCTGTCGGGTCATTATTGTTCTGTCTGGTCACCAGTGGTTCTGTCGGGTCATTATTGTTCTGTCGGGTCATTATTGTTCTGTCGGGTCACCGGTGGTTCTGTCGGGTCATTATTGTTCTGTCGGGTCACCAGTCGTTCTGTCGGGTCACCAGTGGTTCTGTCGGGTCCTCATGGTTCTGTCCGGTCACTAGTTGTTCTGTCGGGTCCTCATGGTTCTGTCGGGTCCTCATGGTTCTGTCGGGTCCTCATGGTTCTGTCGGGTCCTCATGGTTCTGTCGGGTCCTCATGGTTCTGTCGGGTCCTCATGGTTCTGTCCGGTCACTAGTTGTTCTGTCGGGTCCTCATGGTTCTGTCGGGTCCTCATGGTTCTGTCGGGTCACTAGTTGTTCTGTCGGGTCCTCATGGTTCTGTCGGGTCCTCATGGTTCTGTCAGGTCACCAGTGGTTCTGTCGGGTCCTCATGGTTCTGTCCGGTCACTAGTTGTTCTGTCGGGTCACCATGGTTCTGTCCGGTCACTAGTTGTTCTGTCGGGTCCTCGTGGTTCTGTCCGGTCACTAGTTGTTCTGTCGGGTCCTCGTGGTTCTGTCCGGTCACTAGTTGTTCTGTCGGGTCCTCATGGTTCTGTCGGGTCATTATTGTTCTGTCGGGTCCTCATAGTTCTGTCGGGTCGTTATTGTTGTGTCGGGTCCTCATGGTTCTGTCAGGTCACCGGTGGTTCTGTCGGGTCCTCATGATTCTGTCGGGTTACCGGTGGTTCTGTCGGGTCACCGGTGGTTCTGTCGGGTCACCATGGTTCTGTCGGGTCATTATTGTTCTGTCTGGTCACCAGTGGTTCTGTCGGG